GAGGAAAGAAGAAAGGAAGGAATTGACTTACCCGAGGGAGGTGAGGTGAGGGAGGGAGGGAGGAAGGAAGGAAGGAATTTGAATTACCCAAGGAGGGGAGGGGAGGGAGGGAGGAAGGAAAGGTTCCTGCTAACTGTGAGTTGCAACTGTCTATGAAGATTCTCAGTCATCCCGGTCATGGTTGTCCCAAAGGTGTTTTTTTTCAAGAGGCAACTGGGCCAGAAAGTCTGGTTGCCCCTTGAAAAAAGCACTTTGGATGAGTTACAACTAAACAAATTGTTGAATAATGTAACTTCTCCAAAATTTTCTGGCCACAAAAGGCATGTCCTAACCACTCTATATACTTTATCCAATGGATTATGCAAAGTCTGTAACTGGATCTCCCTTTTTTCCCCCCAAATCCCTAACTTTGACTGCGTCCCTCTCCATCATCCAATCTGCTATAAGCTAGAGGGAGGAAACCAATAGGCACAAGAAGGGTTCCATAATCCTTTCCCCATCTGTTTAGGCAGCAATTCCTCTGGATCAGCATGGCACACCTCACACCTCTTCAGTTGCATGTAAATTGTTGGGATCAAGCTCGGCTTTCAATGAAAAATGTATTCTCTTATGCCACTTACCAAAGAGCTGCTGTGGTAGATATGTATTTTCATGCCAAACTTTTTCCCTCCTGACCAATTGCATTTGCTGCTTTATTATTCAGTGGTGCTTCTCAGGTGAATGCATAACGGTGGGCAAGAGTCCTGAAGCAATTAATGGCGCATGGGGATCCTGGTCGCCCTGGTCCCACTGTACTCGGACATGTGGAGCTGGCATACAGGCAGCTGAAAGAGACTGCAATAACCCAGAGTAAGAACATTGAAGGTTTCAATCTCCTTATAACTTAACAGTCTGGGCCCGAGTACTTAAAGAATGGCTGCATTGAAGGGTGGCATTTCCTGTCCTTGCAGTGATCTCTATAGAGCAGGGCTGTCAAACTCGTGGGCTGTGGGCCAGATGCATCATGTGCTGGCCATGCCCGGTTTAGCAAAAGGTGGGGGGGGGGGAAGTCCCGCTATGTCATATGACGCCACCGTGGTGACGTGAGTTTGACACCCCTTCTATACAGATTCTTTTCCAAGGTTTCATACAGTAACTGTAGCCTTTTGCACGAGTCAGTTAGTTTTTTTCTCAGCATGGAGGGGAAAAAAGGGGAGAAAGTAGAAATATAGAAGGAGAAGAAATAGAAGGGCTGGTCATTTGGGACTTTGACCAATCTACCACTGCATGTAGCTTCTAATGGAATGGAAACAGCCCATATCATGGTTAAAAGTGCCAGATCTGGGAGATTCCGAGTTTTAGTCCTGCAAGAAGCATTATGCCAATGGGGTGACTTTGGGCCAGTCACTCTCTCTCAGCTCCAGGAAAAGGCAATGACAAAAGGACTTATCCAAGCAGTTGCACTAAAATAATCTCTCTCTCTCTCTCTCTCTCTCTCTCTCTCTCTCTCTCTCTCTCTCTCTCTCTCTCTC